AGGGCGGCGGCTCGCCGGGCCAGAGGCGCGGGGCGGCTCCGCCTTCGCCCTGGCCGCTTTCCCAGTAGGGCCCTGTCCAGGAGTGCGTCATTTCTCCGTCGACCGAGAGCTCAACGCTGAGGATGAAGTCGGCGAGGCTCGGCCGGGGCGGCGGCAGCGCCGCCGCGATTTGTCGGCGGAAGAGCTCTCTGAATGAGGGAGCGGGCATGGGAGATAGGCGCAGGATATCCTCCACGCGCGGAAAGCGCGAGAGCGTCAAGTTGCGCCACGCGCCGGCAGTCGCACGCCGACAGGACGAGGCGGCGCACTCAAAGGCGAGCAGAGTCGCCGCGGCGTCAAAGTGCGAGGCAATGCAGCCCAACACCTCCACAGGGACATACAGATCCTCCAGCATGTGCGCCATGCTGCGCGGACCCGCGGACCCCACTGTTGCTTTTGGAATGAGCGAGCGACAGCGAGCCGCCCCCCCCTCGGAACACTAATCTTAAAAGAACTCGCTCCGGCAAACAAACGGCAAAAGCACGCTCGGCTTGACAAAGAGCCCCAGCACCTCCTTCTTTGAGGTCACCTCGAGGTCCGGGAGGAACACCATGCCGCATGCGGTCCTTGGCGCGTCTTGGCCACGTACTCGACGCTCAGTTCCTCAAACGCCTCCTCGCCCCCCTGCTCGATTTTGTCCGCCATGGGGAACATCGACGGGTTGATGAGGTACACGTCATCGGCCTCGAGGCCCTTGCCAGCGTGCGGTGTACGGGCGACGTCCCTCACGGGCAAGATCCCTCACGGGCGACGTCCCTCACGGGCGACGTCCCTCACGGGCGAGATCCCTCACGGGCGAGATCCCTGATCCCTAATACGGACGGGACCCCTAACGGGCGAAAACCCTAACGGGCTCTCTACCGGCGAAATCCCTAACAGGCCAGACGCAAAAAAAAAACGTGGTGCGACCTTATTAGGACGGGTCGGGCCGCCGACTTTGTCGGAAGCGAACTTAGGCACAGCGCGCCCCCCTGTCCTGGACGGCCACAGGGGCTGCCAGGCGCGCAATCACTGGTAGTTCGACGCCACGTTCCCTCCGTTAGTGCACGAAAGGCGCGATCGGCAAGGACGAAACATCGGAGCCCGACAGCAGCTCGCTGGACGTCGCCGATGCAATCATGCAGCTCTCCTGGGCACGCTCCCTCCATCTTACATCTAAAGCGCCCCCTAGGAGCGTGCGGCGACCTGCCCTGACCGGCCCGAGCGACCCGCTTTAGGTCTCTTCTACTCTGCCTGACGCTGCCCGCAGCTCCGCACCGCAGCGTCCGCCAAGGAAACGGAGGCCAGATTTGGACTCTCAGGCCCCGTACGGGGCCTGAGAGCCCAAAGGGGTATAGCCCTATAGGGGTATAGCCCTATAGGGGTATAGCCCTAAAGGGTTTATGCCCTTAAGGGCTATATCCCTCCAGGGTCTATGAGGGATATGGCCCTGCAAGGAAAGGGGTTGGGCGGTTACGCAAGGCGGGAAAAATCCTATTACGGGCGAGACCCCTTTCGGGCGAGACCCCTCACTCATGGGCGAGATCCCTCACGCACGGGCGAAACCCCTCACGGACGGGACCCCTCACGGGCGAGACCCCTCACGGGTTACACCCCTGCCGGGCCTCATGGGCAACAACTTCCTTCCTTGCCGTTTGGCGACCCTCGACGGGCGAGCATATGTGAAAGCCGACCGCCAGGGTTCGAGCTTAGGGTACGTTTGGGTGATGGTTGCGAGGGGGGGGCGCCGGGAGAGTTGTGCACGGTAGACTGATATGTGATATCCCATGGCCACGCAGGACATGGTGATGTCCTTTCTCGACCAGCAAGTTCGCAGCAAGCTCCAGGTCCGGCCGCCCGAGGACGGTACCGCAGAGGCTGAGGCAGCGGAGGCGGAGTGGGCGGCTCGGTGGAAGACGTGGATGCACCCGTGGCGCTGTGGAGCGCCGGCTGCTTCACCCACAGCCAGCTGCGACGGCCGACCCGTGCGAGAGAGGCTGCTGCTGCTCTCCGAGTCTCCTCTCGTCTGGGCTATCCCCGGCTTCTGTTCTCACGAGGAGTGCGTTCGCCTCATCCAACTCGGCGCGCGTGGACTGCAGCCTCCTCCGGGCTGGTCGCCCGAGTGGAGAGGCCGGCAGGTTGCGAAGACAACCGTGGCGGGTGGGGCGTCGAAGGAGGAGGAGGAGCGACTACTCGCCACGCTCAGAGAGAGGGTGCACTCACTGCTGGGCTCTCCGGGCGAAGGCTCGCTGGGCCTGCAGCTATCTTTCAACGCACCCGAGGAGGAGGCGGGGCTCACGATTGGGTTGCACACAGACCTCAACAACGGGGCCGAGTCTCGCTGGGCGACCGTCCTCCTCTACCTCAACACCGTCCCGCCACACGAGGGAGGAGCCACCGTCTTTCCTGCCGCCAGCGCGGTGACAGCTGCCGGCACCGCGCTTGAGCCGCCACTGAAGCGGCCCTGCAGCGGAGCAGCGGAGCAGAGCGAGACCGCGGAGGGCGCGGCGGCGGAGCAGAGCGAGGCGGTGGTGGATGCGAGCGCCGCGAGGGCGGCGGCGGAGGAGCTGTCCGCGCTGGGCGTCACCAGCACCTCGGACGCAGTGAGCTTCGCTGTTGAGGAGGATGGCGAGGTCAGCGTCGAGTGCCTCGAAGGCGGGGGTGCTGCCGCGGTCCTCACTGCCGCCGCGCAAGCTGCGGCGGCATCGGCCCTCGCCGCCGCCCCTCGCGGCAGCCGTCGGGGCGTCCTCAGCAGCCACGGCCCTAGCGGCGTCGGGCTCTGCGTGCACCCCTCCGAGGGATGCGCCATCCTCTTCTACTCACAGAGCGGAGGAGGAGGCGTGGATCCCCTCTCGTGGCACGGTGGAGCCGCCGCGGCGGGCCTCGGCAAGTGGACGGTCCAGTGCTTTGCGACGCTGCCCGAGTCTGTGCGCGGCGACGAGGCGCGAACCAGAGCCTTCCTGTCCGCTCACCGCATCGGGAGGGACGGGGACGGAGATGTGACATGAACCTCGTCTCAACTTGAAATTGATAAGAGAGCTAAAAAGCCACTCTGCTCTCTTGCGCGCCGCGCGGCGTTTTTATGTCGTGTGGGCCTGGTGGTCAGCCCGTCGCGTGCGCTCGTGCGCGGGGTGCGCCGAGCCCCCCCGCAAGGCATGCCGGAGGGGACGGATCGGGTTGGGGCGCAGCAGCTCCCTCTCTCCCTCCCTCCTCTCCGATGCGCAGCGCGCCGGACGCCGCGACCATCGACTCTGACTGTCATGTCTGACTGACCTTGGATGCCGAGAAGCGACCCCGTTTCGCGCGGGCGAGCTCCTGCTACGCGGTGATCGATGCCGGCCTGCCTGCTCCCGACAACCGGGGCCACCACCCGCCGATGCGCAACTACACCCGTCCCTACCAGGCCGAGATAGCCAGAGCCCCCCTGGGCCAAACCCTCCCCCACGAGGTGGACCGCGCAGCCCACCTCCTGCCCCTCACTCTCTGACTCGACCTGCCCCTCTGAGAGCTCTGGCACTGAGCCTCCCACTACCTGCGCCAGGCTGGCCGAACCATGCAGGTCCCCAGCTTACTCC